ACCTCAGCGACATTACTTGATAGCCGTTGTTGCCGTTATGGTCGTTGCCAGTTTCGTCTAGTGCTTCGTTACTACCGCTCAGACCGTGACTGTGCAACGGTAGATAAGTGTTAAAACCTTCTCCACCCGGACTGTTTTTGTAGGCCAACCATTGATCTTGATCGGGTAGATGTTGATCGGGTAGACGACACAAACGATAAAATTGATTTACTGGAAACTGATCCAATTCTAGTTGAAATGTGTTATCGTCTACGCGCCAGATCGTGATGTCAATGTTATGGCCTACTGGTAGCTGAACATGACGATGGATATGACCGTCGTTCGCATGGATGTCCAAAAATGCGATGGAAGTGTTCCGATTGGCAAACTGTTCAAATATGTCAATCCAGGGTCTATGAAATAACAGGTTCTGAGAAATACGACCGCACAGTTCTGCCCAATTTTGAATGGCTAGAACAACATCATTGATGTTGGCGTCGGCATTGAACGGTTCGGCTATGATATTATCTAATACGGGCGGAACTAATACTAGTGGTTCTGGTGGTGGATAAGCTGTATGTGGTTGAATGTCTAACATAAGTACCTGACGAACAATGGCTGATTTGTAGATCTTTTCGACGGACATTGCTTTTGACAATCGTTGGGAAATTAGTGGACAGTAAATATGGATATCGTTTCTCAAATCATCAATATATTGTTGTCCGACGACATCAATCAGATAGTAAAACCTATTCAACGCAGTGGCAATATTTAAGCAACAGTGTGCGGCCCAAACTAACTCGTAGGTTAGCGACCAACGATTAAACCAATTGGTGCACTGACTGTTCAAACGTTGCGCTGTTAGGACATCGATGACATACAGTCTCCGTTGGTCTCCGTATCTGATCAATTCGGCCTGCGGTCCGCTCGGTCTACCCAATGGTAGTGTAGTGTCTATCTGTGAAAACATAAGACCGTACTTTCCCGCATGGTGTTCATAGCCGCCAAAGTTGGTTAGAACCATTGGTCGTTTAAATGTAGGTGCTCCGAAATCAAACCAATTATTATTGGTAAAAGTAGTCAACCGATTGGTCAGACGATAACGATTGCCAAAATTGACGCCAACGGAAATCTCATCATTAACATTAGTTTTAATCGTCTTAAACGGAAATGGTTCGTTACCAATAAGTAACCATTGATTTTCGCCTACCTGGCCTTCGGCCAGATTGACGTACGGGTGTTGATTTGTTTTTGCATCCTCATCCTCGTCGATCACATACACTAATTCTCTGGCCAATGCCGGTGGTATTATGTCGTGATAAAAATCGGTATAAATTATTAGTTTTTCTGTATTAAAATCGTTGTCATCCATATTGTCATTCATATTGTGCTGGTTTGTTTGGCCCGGTATGTGTATGCGTGTGGATATGGTATTGTGTGGTATCGACTCTTTAACACTCAAAGAGGTAGTAGTGGGTGATTGTGTCTGTGTCTGTGTGTGTACTGTGGCTATGATGTTGTTTTTTATTTGAAACTATTTCTACTTTTGTTGACTACAACTAAACTATTTTTTGAAATTATTTTTTTTGACTACTACTTAATTGTTTGTTTAAAATTTTTTTTTAATTATTGCATCTTTTTCTTTCTTATATCAACATAACTGACACATATCTGACAAAAATAACTTTAATTAAACTAATTAATTAATTAGTTAAAACAATTTTCTATTGAATACAAAATATCACAGCTATTATTTAGTATATACTGTATATATAATATTCCTAATTATACAACAAATTGTTTGATTTTTCTTTTTTTATTTTAAAACATAACAAAACTGATGGTCAATAATATAATATGTTTTTGGTTGTGTTTGTCGGATGAGTTGGTTGACTACTATTTTTTTCTTCTTTGTTGTTGTTGTTGCTGTGTGTGTGTATCTTTGATACCATTACCATCAAACCAACCATCACTGCCCCACTGCTGCCTCATGTTCTTTTACATATTTAGAATTACCCAAACTATAAATAGCGGCATGTATTCTAACACTTTTGATGGCTGGCTCCTGTAGTTGAGGATTTGGCACCAGTACACTGTACTTCCAGATTTGTTCCAGTTTTACCAGCCATTCATACCGGTGAAACAACTGTCTGTTTAATAAACCCAATCGATTGTTAAATGCCCGAAGAACCTCTGGGTCTCGGTTTGACTGTATGGCCATACGATGGGCATCGCTTAGGTGTCTGGAAATTGGCAACAACTGTCCAAACCATGTCTGATATTCAACCATCACTTGTCGGGTCTCGAAATAGAAGCGCAACTCTTTGGCCATTTCTCTGTTGACAAAGTATAGCCGATGAGTGGTCTCAGTGCCGCCGTTTGCCGGCAGTTCATAGCGAAACAACAGCGACATTGCTTGATAGCCATTGTTGCCGTTAAAGTCACGGCCAAAGTCGTCTAGATCTTGGTTACTACCGCTGAGGCCGTGACTGTGCAGCGGTACATAGAACTTGTGATTACCTATTCCACCTCCACCTTGACTACTTTTGTAGGCCAACCATTGTGGTTGATTGAGATAACGACACAAACGATAATATTTTGTTGGTGGAAACGCTTGCGATCGTAGTTGATATGTGTTATCGTCTATGAACTGAATCCTGATGTTAAAGTTGTGGTTATCTGATAGTCGAACTGGACGAGTGATCTCACCATCGTTTGCTTGGATGTCCATAAATGCAATGGAAGTGTTCCGATTGGCCAACTCGTTAAATACGTTATGCCACGGTGTTTGATATAACGGGTGGTTAGAAATAAGTCCATACAGTACTTGCCAATCATGAATGGCTCGATTAAGATCAATGTTGGCGCCATTGAACGGTTCAGGCTGGTATATGTTATAATTGGGCGGATCTAATACTAGTGGTTGTTGTTGTACTAAGTGTGCAGTAATGACTGGCATACTGTATTGACGAACAATGGCTACTTTGTAGATCCTTTCGACGTACATTGCTTTTTCCAATCGTTGTGAAACTAGTTCACCGTATATATAGATCCGGTCTCTCAATTCATCAATGTATTGTTGTTGGACATCATTCAGATAGTAAAACCTATTCAATGCAGTGGTCATAATTAGGACTCCGTGTGCCGCCCTAACTAACTGGTAGGTTAGCGACCAATCATAGAACCAATTGGTGCACTGCCAGTACAAACGTTGTGCTGTTGCGGCATCGATGACAAACAGTCTCAGTTGGCCTCCGTATTTGATCAGTTCGGCCTGCGGTCCGCTCGGTCTACTCAATGGTGGTGTAGTGTCTATTTGTGAAAACATTAGAGCGTATTTTCCCGCTCTCTCATGGCCGGCATAGGTGGTCACAACCATTTGTCGCTCAAAAGTAGGTGACCAGAAACGATGCCGATTATTATTATCGGTAAATGTGGTTAACCGATTGGCCAGACGAAACTGATTGCCAAAATTCATCCCAACGCCTAACTGCCCTTCAAACGTATATTGTCCCGTCTTTACTGGAAATCGTTCACCAGCAATCACCAACATTTGCTCTTCACCCAACTGGCCTTTGGCCATATTGACGTACGGGTGTGCATTAGCTTTTGCATCCACCTCCTCGTCTATAATATACACTAATTCCTCCTCCAATATTTGTGGTATTTTTTGCTGATAATCATTAACAATTCCTTCTAGTTTTTCTATATTAAATTCGTCCATATTTTTTAATATGACTGATTGATTGCTGTTTTGTTTGTCACGGTATGTGTGTGTCTGTGTGTCGATATGGTATCGTCTGTAGACTCTTCGACACTCAAAGAGGTGGAAGTATATGTGGTGTGGCTGTGATATTGTTTTTTTAAAACTAATTTTGTTTTTTTGTGTTTTTTTTGAAAATATTTTTTTTCTACAATTTAATTGTTTGTTTGAAAATTTTTATTTATTCTCTCTCTCTCTCGCTCTCTCTCTCTCTCTCTCTATTGATAACAGATAAAAAAGATACTGTATCTAACATATCTGACACATACAAAAATGACTTATAAAACTAATTAATTAATTAATTAAAAAAAACAATTTTTTATTGAATACAAAATATCATAGCTATTATACATTATATTGACATTTATATATACAATGTTACTAATAATACAACAAATTGTTTGGTTTCTCAATTTTTTTTTTGTTTTTTTTTCTTTTTTTTAATTTTAAAATATATCAAAACTGATGGTCAATAATATATATATAATTTGTTGTTTTTGCTCTGTGTGTGTGTCTCTGATCCATACTATTACCATCAAACCAACCATCACTGTCCCACTTTTGCCTCATTTTCTTTTACATATTTAGAATTACCCAAACTATAAATAGCGGCATGTACTTTAACCGTTTTGATGGCTGGCTCCCATAGTTCATCATCTGGATTAGTCCTATTGGGCACCAGTACGCTGTACTTCCAGATTTGTTCCAGTTTTACCAGCCATTCATACTGGTGAAACAACTGTCTGTTTAATAAAGCCAATCGATTGTTAAATGCGCGAAGAACCTCTGGATCTCGGTTCAACTGTATGGCCATACGATGGGCATCGCTTAGGTGTTTGGAAACTGGTAACAACCATCTAAACCATGACTGATATTCAACCATCACTTGATGGGTCTCGAAATAGAAAGCGCAACTCTTTGGCCATTTCTCTGTTGACAAAGTATAGCCGTTGATTGATGTCTAGGATATCGTCTACCATTTGGTCTTCAAACACCAGCGACATTGCTTGATAGCCGTTGTTGGTGTTAAAGTCACGGTCAAAGTCGTCTAGCTCTTGGTTACTACCGCTCACTCCGTGACTGTGCAACGGTATATAGAACTTGTGATTACCTATTCCACCTCCACCCTGACTACTTTTGTAGGCCAACCATTGCGGTTGATTGGGATAACGACACAAACGATATAATTGACGAATTACTCCAATTAGTGGAAACGCATCCGATCGTAGTTGATATGTGTTAGCGTCTATGAACTGAATACTGATGTCAAAGTTGTGGTTATCTGATAGTCGAACTGTACGAGTGATCACACCATCGTTTGCATGGATGTCCATAAATGCAATGGAAGTCTCCTGATTGGCCAAATATTTTAGCCCACGGTCTATGATATAACTGGTGGCTAGAAATAAGTTCGTACAGTAATTGCCAATCATGAATGGCTTGATTGATATTGTTATTGAACGGTTCAACTAAGATACCATAATCGGGTGGATCTAATACTAGTGGTTGTTTTTGTACTAAGTGTGCAGCAAGGGTTGGCATACTGTATTGACGAACAATGGCTACTTTGTAGATCTTTTCGACGTACATTGCTTTTTCCAATCGTTGTGAAACTAGTTCACCGTATATATAGATCTGGTCTCTCAATTCATCAATGTATTGTTGTTGGACATCATTCATATAGTAAAATATATTCAATGCAGTGGTCATACTTAGGACTCCGTGTGCGGCCCTAACTAACTGGTAGGTTAGCGACCAATCATAGAACCAATTGGTGCACTGCCAGTACAAACGTTGCGCTGTTCGGGCATCGATGACAAACAGTCTCCGTTGATCTCCGTGTCTGATCAGTTCGGCCTGCGGTCCGCTCGGTCTACTCAATGGTTGTGTAGTGTCTATTTGTGAAAACATAAGACCGTATTCTCCCGCTTTGCCATATCCGGCATAGGTGGTCAAAACCATTCGTCGCCGAAAAGTAGGTGACCAGAAACGATGCCGATTATCATTATCGACAAAAGTGGCTAACCGATTGGTAAAACGAAAGTGATTGCCAAAATTGATGCCAACGTCTAACTTCGTGTCAATCGTATATTTTGCCGTATTTGACGGAAATCCTTCGCCAGCAATCACCAACATTTGCTCTTCACCCGCCTGGCCTAAGGCCATATTGACGTACGGGTGTGCAGTAGCTTTTGCATCCTGGTCATCGTCTATAATATACACTAATTCCTCGTCCAATATTGGTGGTATTTTTTGCTGATAATCATCAACAATTTCGGAGCCGATCTATCTTGTAAGCACCGTTTTTTATATTATTTACACGCGCTATTGTTTCAATCATTTTAATTGTATTTCACGCGATATTTACACGTATTTTTATAATTAATAAATTAAAAGTAGATAAGTTTAAGCAAAAATAAGATCATTTTCTATTTAACTAACCTAACCTATTTACACAATTGTTGACATAACCTAATCTATTGTATTAGTGTTCGCTCCGTTACCTAACCTGGTGTTTCGACCGCAACCTTAACCTAATTATAATGGTATTATACAAATGTATTATATGATTACTGTATAATAGTAATAGCTGTCAATAGCGCGTGAAATATAATTAAAATGATTGAAACAATAGCGCGTGTAAATAATTTAAAAAACGGTGCTTACAACATAGATTTTAGCCACAATTTCTTCTAGTTTTGCTCTATTAAATTCGTCCATATTTTTTTTAATATGACTGACTGATTGCTGTTTTGTTTGTCACGGTATGTGTGTGTCTGTGTATGTGGATATGGTATCGTCGGTAAACTCTTCGACACTCAATGGGGAGGAAGTAGGTGTGGTGTGGCTGTGATTTTGTTTTATTTTTGTCGTATTTTTTTGAAATTATTTTTTTTACTAAAATTTAATTGTTTGTTTGAAAATTTTTATTTATTGTCTCTCTCTCTCTCTCTCTCTCTCTCTCTCTCTCTCTCTCTCTCTCTCTCTCCATTGATAACAGATAGAAAAAGATACTGTATTTAACATATCTGACACATATTGACAAACTATTAACTCATAAAACTAATTAATTAATTAATTAATAAAAAAACAACTTTCTATTTATAGCTATTATACAGTATAACGCCCGAAAACATGCCAACCGAAAAAAATAGGGGTAGTGTATGTGCTCTACACATAAATCACTGCTATTGCCCCCACCATCGCTAAAATAACCGAAATTATTTACCCGAATAGCGGGCTTACAGTTAAATTTTTTTAATTAATTATACATATTATTAATTATTATATACTTATTTATTAATTTTAAAAATTATTTTTTTCCTGTGATTTATTTACCGATTTTTATGAGCAGTTAAAAAAAGCCGAGATTTTATGAAATATACTGTATATATAAATTTATGTATGATATATACAATATTACTAATAATACAACAAATTGTTTGGTTTGACTCAAAAAAAAAATTTATTTTCTTTTTTCTTTTAAAATATATCCAAAACTGATGGTCAATAATATGATATGTTTTTGGTTTTGTTTGTCGGATGAGTTGGTTGACTACTTTGTTTTCTTTGTTGTTGTTTTTGCTCTCTGATACCATTACCATCAAACCAACCCTCACTATCCTTTCTGAAACTGAGCTAAAAGTGCAGAATTTCCCAATCTATAAATAGCGGCATTTACTTTAACCGTTTTGATGACTGGCTCTCGTAGTGCATGATTTGGATTAGTCCTATTGGGCACCAGTACACTGTACTTCCAGATTTGTTCCAGTTTTACCAGACATCTATAGTTATTGAACAACCGTCTGCGAACAGTACTCAATAGACGGTTATAATTGCGAAGATCGCGTACGGCTGGATGTTCATCATTCATGTTGTTTTCCTGTCTGACCAGACGATGGGCATCGGTTAGGTCTAGTGAAATGGTCAACAACTGTCCAAACCATCTCTGATATTGAATCATCACTTGTTGGGTCTCGAAATAGTAGCGCAACTCTTTGGCCATTTCTCTGTTGACAAAATATAGCCGATGATCGGTGTGTACAGTGTTGGGTGCAATTTGGATGTCAAACACCAGCGACATTGCTTGATAGCCATTGTTGCCGTTAAAGTTTTGTTGGTTAAAGTTGTCTGGCTCTTGGTTGCTACCGCTCAGGCCGTGACTGTGCTCCGGTACATAGAACGCTTCACCACCTAGATTGTTTTTGTAGGCCAACCATTGAGGTTGATTGGGATAAAGACACAAACGATAATGTCGATTAATTGGAAACGCTTGCGATCGTAGTATATATGTGTTAGCGTCAATGCAATAAATCCTGATGTCAAAGTTGTGGTCATTTTCTAGTCGAACTGTACGAATGGTCTCACCATCGTCTGCATGGATGTCCAAAAATGCAATGGAAGTGTTCTGGTTGGCAAACCGTTCAAATATGTTGATCCACGGTCTATGATATAGCTGGTGGTTAGTAATAAGACCGTACAGTAATCCCCAATTTTGAATGGCTTGAGCACTGTCGCCATTGAACGGTTGAGGCATGATGTTATAATTGGGCGGACCTAATTCTAAAACATGTGGATCAAATTGTGCAGCAATGTCTTCCATAAGTTCCTGGCGAACAATGGCTACTTTGTAGATCTTTTCGACGGACATTGCTTTTGCCAATCGTTGTAAAACCAGTTGACTATATATATAGATACGGTTTCTCAATGCATCAATGTATTGTTGTTGGACATCATTTAGATATATAAACCTATTCAATGCAGTGGCCATACTTAGGACTCCGTGTGCGGCTCTAACTAACTTGTAGGTTAGCGACCAATGATCGGACCAATTGGTGCACTGCCAGTACAAAAGTTGTGCTGTTTCGGCATCGATGACAAACAGTCTCTGTTGTTCTCCATTTACGATCAGTTCGGCCTGCGGTCCTGCCGGTCTACCGAATGGTAGTGTAGTGTCTATCTGTGAAAACATAAGACCGTATTCACCATTTTTGAGTCGATAGCCTCCAAAGTTGGATATAACCATTTGTCGATCAAATTTAGGCGCCCAGAAATCATGCTCTTTATTTTGATCGACAAAAGTGGCCAAACGATTGGACAGATGAAAAAAATTGCCAAAATTGATGCCAACGGCATGATTCTGTTTATACGTATACGGTCTCGTCTGTACCTCAAATAGTTCCTTACCAATTAGCAACTGTTGAAATTTACCCGCCTTTCCTTTGGCCATATTGACGTACGGGTGTCCATCAGCTTTTGCATCCAGGATCTCGTTTATCACATACACTAATCGTTCCTCCAATACTGGTGATATTATTTTATGATAAAAATTGACAACATCTTCTAGTTGCTCTCTATCATAGTTGTCCATATTTTTCTATATGACTGACTGATTGCTGTTTTGTTTGGCCCGGTATGTGTGTGTGTGTGTGTGTGTATGGTGTCGTCTGTAGACTCTTCAACACTCAATGAGGAGGAAGTGGATGTGGTGTGGCTGTGATGTTGTTCTTTTAAAACTAATTTTGTTTTTTATTTGAAATTATTTTTTTTTAATAACTATTTAATTGTTTGTTTGAAAATTTTTAATTATTGCATTCTCTCTCTCTCTCTCTCTCTCTCTCTCTCTCTCTCTCTCTCTCTATCTCTCTCTATTGATAACAGATAAAAAAGATACTTTATCTAACATATCTAACACATACAAAAATAACTTATAAAACTAATTATTAACTAATAGAAATAAAACAAAACAAAAATCAATTTACTATTAAATACAAAATATCATAGCTATTATTCAGTATATATAATTTATATACCAATATATATATATATATTCAATATTAGTAATAATACAAGAAATTGTTTTGTATGACTAAAAAATAGTTCATTTTATTTTTTTTGTTATTTCAAATATCTAAACTGATGGTCAAAAAATATATTTGTTTGTTGACTACTTCTATGTTGTCGTTGTACTCTCTCTCTCTCTCTCTCTCTCACATTGTCTATGTGTCCACACCATTATCGAGGTGGCCTTCGTGGAAATAATCGTTGATGTCTACCCAATCGATAAATAGCAGGATTTGAAAATAGCGATGTGATGGCTTGTTCCTTATGTTTAACACGCTGAGGATCTGTATTGGGCACCAGTACGCTGTACCTCCAGATTTGTTCCAGTTTTACCAAACATTCATAATCTTCAAACAACTGTCTGGCCAATTGGTCCAATTGGTTGATACATATGTTAATACCTACAACATGTTGATCGTCATCATTATGATTGTTCTGATATCTTAACAGACGATAGGCATCGCTCAGTCGTCTGGAAACTCGTATCAACCATCTAAACCATCTCTGATATCTAGCCATCACTTGTTGGGTCACGAAATAGTAGCGCAACTCTCTGGCCATTTCTCTGTTAACAAAATATATCCGCTGACTGGTCTCAAAACTGTTGTCAAGAAGTTCTATGTTAAACATCAGCGCCATTACTTGATAGCCATTGTTGCCGTTATAATCGAAATCGTGCGGAACGGCATATTGGTTACTACCGTTCAGACCGTGACTGTGCACTGGCAGATAGCATTGGTTGCCACGATTTCTGAATAGACACCATTGAGGTAATTCGGGTACACTTTTCAAAAGATATATACCATTAGTTGCATTGGTAAAGGCTGTCGATTGTAGCCGATAGGTGTCATCGTTTAGACGTTTGATAGCTATGTCTATATTGTGATCGTTTGGCAGATGAATATAACGATGGTGAATCATATGGCCTTCTTCGATGTCCAAAAATCTAATGGAATTGTTCCGGCTGGCAAACTGCCTAAAAATGTTGATCCACGGCTTTCCAAACATTATGTGTCCATAAATATTAATGGACTCTTCCATCCAATGTTGGCGGATCTGTTCAGCATCGATGTCGGCGGCAATGTATGGTTCAAATGCTATACCATTAATATTTGGAAGATTTACTACTGATATACTATGTTCAAGTTGTGGGTCGGGCATAATGTTATCCATACCTTCCTGACGAACAATGGCTACTTTGTAGATATCTTCCACAGACTTTGCTGTTACCAATCGTTCGATAATCAGTTCACCAAACCTATAGATATGTGTTCTCAAGATATTGACATATCCTTCACTAAGATTCAGATCGTAAAATCTATACAATATAGTGGTCAGTGTTGTTAGGAGTTCGTATGCGGCCGTAACTAAATCGTAGGTTAAGGATCTGTCAGTATTAGACCAATTCGTGCACTGTATGGCCAAACGTCGAGCCGTATCTATGTCGATGATATACAGTCTTTGTTGCTTTCCATGTTGGACCAGTTCGGCCTGCGGTCCACTAGGTCTACCTACTGGATCCCTTGTGTCTATTTGTGCAAACATACCACCCCAGTTTCCCCGACCGCCGTTATAGTTTGTAAAAACCATATTTCGCTTAAATGTAGGCGTATAGTAAAGATAGCCTTCCGGGTCTTTAAACTGCACCGACCGTTGGCTCAGACGATAATATTTGGCAAAAGCGAGACCTGGGTATAGTGTCCCACGAAGAGTATATCTGGCTGTTTTTAACGGAAATCGTTCGCCAGCAACGAGCAAATTTTGGTCTTGTCCGATTTGACCTGCGGACATATTGATGTACGGGTGCGACACTGGATGGCCATTTGCATCATCATTCACGGTCACCAACTCCCGATTCAATATTATTTGTATTCTGTTTATAGAATCCATGGTATCATGTTGTAGTTGATTAGGTACGGCGGCCATATTATATGCTGTGTGTTGTCTAATATGTTGGTGATGTCTGTGATCTTACCACTCAAGAGGAATTGGTTGGTAGTAGTGGTGTTTGTGCTGTGTCTGTGATGTCT